TCTCTAGAAAATGGCATGGGAACAAACGATGAAGATGAATTAAGCCTCGGCTTGCCCACTGAGCTCAAGAGAAAAAAGGAACAGTTGGACAGCAGCCTCAGACCCAGCAAAGAGAGGCAGTCACCAGCTGGTCTCACCCTTCCTCTGAGCAGTGACCAAACCTTTCACCTGATGAGCAACCTGGCTGGGGACGTCATCACAGCTGCAGTGACTGCTGCTATCAAAGACCAGTTAGAGGGCGCGCAGCAAGCCCTTTCTCAGGCTGCACCCAGCCCGGGAGAGGACACAGACACTGAAGAAGGGGATGACTTTGAACTCCTTGACCAGTCAGAGCTCGATCAAATTGAGAGTGAATTGGGACTTTCACAAGACCAGGAAGCAGAAGCACAGCAAACTAAGAAGTCTTCAGGCTTCCTTTCAAATCTACTTGGAGGGCACTAGTTTGGAATCAGCTTATATGACAGAGCACAGATAAACTACCAAAAAATTTCAAACAAGCAAAAAAAAAAAAAAATGTTTTTGAACTGTGAGCTTTACTCATTGCTTTAGATTATTTTGTCTTATTTTCCCTTCTGCAGTGAATTAATTGGATATATATCAGCTGACACTGATAGATTGATATAGCTGATAGTTATTTTTATGTAATTAGCATGGAAATGAAAAAAATATATATATATACAATTGACCCTTGAACAAATGGGTTTGAACTGTGCGGGATTATTTCAATAAATACTATAAATGTATTTTCTTTTCCTTATGATTTCTTAGACATTTTGTTTTTCTAGCTGACTTTCTTGTAAGAATACAGTATATAATACATAAACAAAATGTGTTAATCAACTGTTTGTGTTATCAGTAAGGCTTCCATCAGTGGTAGGCTATTAATAGTTACGTTTTTGGGGGAGTCAAAGATATACACCGATTTTTGACTGTGCAGTGGGTCGGTGCCCCTAACCCCCGCATTGTTCAAGGGTCAACTTGACGTGTGTGTGTATATGTATGTATGTGTGTATACATACATATATACACACATATACATACATCCTGTGTTTTCAGAGATGAATATTAGGGGTTATATTTAAAGCAAAAAGAAAACATGAAATTACTGCAATCCTTCCATAAGTACTCCTTACTTTTCCTTTACAATTATTTTTTCTTTACAATTAATTTTTCAAGCATTGCAAAAACAGTTTATTGCACTTCACTGAATCATTAATAACTAATTGGGAATACATGTTATATCTACCCCTTTGTTCCTAACACTGGGAAACAGATAAATATTTTTGGTGGGTGGATTTTGTTGTAAAAAGGCAAAAATTATTGAGGCATCTTTAGTTGAAGACTTGGAAAATAATATCAAAATTAATTTCCTAGGAAAAATTCTTAAAATGTATTTAACTCCTTTGGATAGGCTGGCACATTTCCACTGTCATTTCTGCAGTTGTAGATTTAGGCTTCCTTGCAAATGGCATGCTCCATTGACTGTCCGCTCTCGGCCCGCAGTGGGTGATACTAACCCATAGAAAGCAAGTAATTATGTATCACGCATACCGTTGGAAACAGATATTGGGCTGTGTTTTGTGGTTCAATTATCATATATTTGTAATAGGGATATCATGAGTGCAGAGTTATTCTGCCTGCTCAGAGCTAGGTAAAGCCCTCATCTTTGATATAGTATCATGGGGGGGGAAAAAAAACGGTCTCTTAAAATCATGAAACTAGTTCCTGATCTGTTCTGTGAGTGATGTGGTCATCAGTAGTAGAAAAAAAAAATAACTGTTTTTGTAGTCTGTATAAATTCTCCTACAGGAGAAAAACTTGCTTGGCTTTAATATGTATTTATTTGCCATTGAAGTCTAAATATTTAATGTTTCTCATTGGGAAGCTAGAATATGTTTTTCCATTATTTTAAACTTTTCGATCGCCTTTAATAACCAGATTTGACGGAGGTTTTTAACAAAGGACTAAAGAGCAGGAATCAAGCTAATTGTGCTTTTGCAATGTAACGTTTAATAGTGTTGAGGGACCATGCCAGCAAAGACTGTTGGCAGTCGTTTCAATATTCAGTACTGCTGGCATGTCTGCAGATGCATACAGACATCTGAGACCCTCAGAAAGGAAGGATAATCCAAGAATATAGGAAATCTGTGATCCTGCCCTTCATTTTATTTTCTAAAGGCTAGTGTAATCATAGGCAATGTGACATTTTAATGTAGCAGCTTTTATTTTTTTCCTTCTGAGATATTAAAATATCTAGACTGAATTTTGCCAAATGTTAAAGGGAGAGAAGTTACTGAAGACTTTGAACACCTGCTTTTTGTGACTGACTATGCTTATATGTCATTAGTGCCTCATGACTGTGTTTGATGTCCTTTATTGATACACAGTGAGCCTGTGCCTTCATTATCTTGCCCGTTTTGGTACAAATGAAAACTTGGTGTCAGATCTATGAACTGTGTGTGTTTGGGAGAAATATACCTGAATTCTATTCAGTAAGAGTTTCTGGACATGAAGAAAAATACAGTCACACATTTATAAATAGTGATGACTAGGATTCCCTTTTTTTTAATGTGTATGTTTCTTCATTTAAAAAATATTTTTGGCCATAAAGTCAAAAAGTTTGAAGGTCATTTCAATTTCTTCATTGAGGGGAAAATAAGAAGTTAAATAATCCAAATAATTAAAGAATGTGTTACAATTCAGCGGACAAGCTTACACAAGAAGATAAACTCAGGAGTTGATGGTCTGAACAATGTACTAGGATCAAATGTTGTTAACTATAAGTCAAAAGGGTCTTCGGGATGGGGAGGGGATGAGGACAAGGGAGGGTAGAAAAATGTGTTACCAGCACTATGGAGGAGACATGCCGGCTCTCTGTCAACAGTGGCTTTGTCACCTTATATCTTCACTGTCTGCCTATGAACCTGGCACTTCAATGTTATTTGTTTGAGAATATGATCACAAATTTATACATACAATAATGGTATTCTTAATTCAAACTAACAGGGATATGGAGGTTTTTTTTATTTTTTTGGGTGTCTATGGTTTTTTGTTTGTTTTTTCGTGGGGGAGCATTATATATAATCTTGTTTCTGATTTTAAGATATAGTAACAGTAAACCCTGTGATTGATCCGGTATGGGGGGGGGGGGGGGCGGGGGACTCTATATCCCTTACCATAAGGATTGATGCAGTCATTAAAATTTGAAGCATGTGTTTATTTTTTAATTATAGAGGAGTTGTAGAAAAATGTTTTGCTCATTTCCAGTAGAAAATGCTGAGCAAAACGAGAATAGTATACATTGATCATGCATATTGATCTGAAACAATAAAACAGAGTCCAAGAAGGTCAAGTTTGCTTTGGAAGGTCAACCCAGGGTTAAAGCAGTGCTTATATTCTCATTCTGAAACATCTTTGCTTTTTCCTACCCTAAAAATCTTCAAAAGTGATTTTTTAAAAAATTGCCCCTCTCCAGCTTAGTATTCTTTTAAGAAAAGAAACTTGTATAAGATTTTGCAATTGGCAAACATCCTCAACACCTTTAGGCATCTCCCTGCAATATTTGAAATAAGGGCAATTCCTTTTAAATAAGTGGCAACTGCCAGCATATTACTGATTTTAGGACAGAAGCAAATCTACATTTAAGAAAAATATAATTTAGTTGATGTAGAGTTTACACTGCTCCAACTATATTAGTTATAAGGTAGAAATGATTCTGAAAACACTTATTAAACTGTTGTCATAGGTCATTTGTGATCATGATGAAATTAAAAAGTCCCAGAACTATTTTTGTGTGTATTGTTCCTCCATTTCCACCAAAGCATTTCAGCTGGGATGGAATGTCAGAAGTAGGAGCCTGGTTCTGATATTAATATTATGGCCCTAAGTCACAATGTCAAAGACACATAACATCCCAAGACCACTACCCCAATGTCCCCAACATAAAATTAGGAAGCTAATTCTTACCTTCTCACAGGGATGTTTTGAGAATGAATGGGAGGAAAAAAGCATCTGAAACACTTTCAGGGGATAAAAAAAACTGTGTAAAACCAAGACAGTGATATTTTTCCCCCAGCCTGTGTTTCAACTAAGCTATCTTTTCAAACATGAAAACCAAGTCAATCAACAAGTACCTGCTTATAAGAAAACTCTGTTTCTTTCAATGGGCCTACACTTTATTGGCCTCATAACCCAATAAATGCTGTGGAATAAAGGATGAAAAGTTTTGCAAAAATGTCTATCATTTCAGCTGACTCCGGACCATATATGAGATTCTTCACTAATCATGTTTAATGGTTCTAATACTTACTGGCTGTGGGACTCTAGTCACCTCATGTCTCTGTACCTGTTTCCTTTATCTATAAAATTAACATATAACACCCAGCTCCTAATACAGCCGTGGGCAAACTACGGCCCGCAGGCCGGATCCGGCCCGTTTGAAATGAATAAAACTAAAAACAAAAAAAGACCGTACCCTTTTATGTAATGATGTTTACTTTGAATTTATATTAGTTCACACAAACACTCCATCCATGCTTTTGTTACGGTCCAGTTTAAGAACCCATTGTGGCCCTCGAGTCAAAAGGTTTGCCCACCCCTGTCCTAATATGTTATGAGGATAAAGTGTCTAAGACTGGGGTTGGAAAACTATGGCCTGTGGGCCAAGTCTGGCCTGCAACCTTTTTGTATGGAATACCAGCTAAAGTTTTTTGGTTTTTTTTAACATTTTTAAATAGTTGAAAAAAATCAGTATTTCATGACATGTGAAAAATATATGAAATTCAAAATTCAGCATTCATAAAGTTTTATTAGAACACTCATTCATGTACTGTCTATGGCTGCGTTCATGCTATTAACAGAAAAGTTGAATAGTTGTGACAAAGAACATAGGCCTACAAAGCCTAAAATATTTACTATCTGGCCCTTTATAGGAAAAGTTAGCCAACCCTTGACCTAAAACAGAAAACAATGACACTTGGGATTGTGTATAATCTTTGTGATTACTGTTAAGAGTTGTCCCCCCGCCCCCCCCAGAAGAACAGGGTTAAATAAGTTACTCAGTTACACAGCACATGCTTGCATATAACTGGGGCACACAGCTTCTAGCTTGTGTCTCCTTTAACTGCGAGATACATGGGATGGGGGCGGGGGGGATTGTTTACTGAAAATCACAGTACTTAACTTTTTTTCATGACCACAGAATTCATAGAAATTGTAAACCACTTATTAAATGTTCGTTTTATATTCTATATTTGTTACCCCCGAAAGGTAACCTCAACCAACCCTATCTCCTTTACAGTTACTTATTGAAACCCAATTGCCACTAGAATATAGGAATGTGAAAAGTAGTAAGCCGAAACCAGCAAATATTGTGATCACTACTATATCAATTGACTTGAGGGTGACCTTATTAACTTTTTTAATTACCAAAAATCAACATTGCAACATCTCCTAGCCTATAAAGGAACCACTCATCATGGTACTGTCATTGTTACAGTGTGCACCATAACATCAGCACTTTGGTAATTAAGTGAACTAACTTAAGGGCTATGTCACAGTATCCAGAAGGAATTTTCAGTATTTTCAAACCTAAATATTTTTTTTTTTGTCATGGGCGGACTCAGTTTAAATTCTTCAGTAGGATGATTAATTGGTAATAGACCTTTTTAATAATTTGTCAGCAGAAATTAGACACATTAACATAGTACCTGGATATGCTGTGGAAAATTTAACTCAAAGGTCCTTTAGTCATTTGGCTTGCAGCTATTGGCTGCAGACCTGCCCTTACGGTATTTTTTCTAATCAATTCCAGCTCCTTCTGCTGGATCTACTGAAGGCCCAGTTCTATTCCTGATGCCCATATAAACTGAGACACTTTTGCATCCCTGCTGTTTACCAATGAAGAATGAGTAAAAAAGTCTATACAGTTCAACGCTTTACCCAATGATAATTTGATACTTTCTAGTCTTATTTTCCCTTCTTTCACTGTATCCTATGCTTTGCCCAAACTGGACATATTCTAAATATGTCCCTTATTTTCCTTCTTCCACAGTTTTTCTTCTTTTTCTACTTGCAGATGAAGTCCTCAGTATTTCCCCTTTCAGTACCCATCTGGAATGGGTCAACTCCTTAATGAAAACTTTTCTGATCTCCCTAGTTGATGAACTTTCTCTATTCTAAAGACCCCATTGCCTCTTCCTTTATATTTCATTGTCCTTGACCCTAGCTTCATGGTAGTAGTTAATTGTGTATTTCTTACCATTCATAACAAATCCCAAAATGAAAGTAGGGCTGTCTTCGTTTAGAACTACCTGAAAATCATAAAGGATAGGTGATGTGATTTATAATGAGAAATATACATTCCTGGCACAGAGCTCCTAAAACCTGTGGAATTTCCTAAGTGATGAGAGCTATAAAGGTGTCTTTTGTTATGTTAATGAGGTGACTTTTGGAAAGCACCTAGATATTCTAGCCAAGAGTGTAGGACACCCCAAACTCCACAGGGACAAAACCTTCTATGTTTGGGACCCTTCCAGACATGACTCCATGTATCTCTTCATCTGGCTGTTCATTTGTATCCTTTACTGTCCTTTGTAATAAACTGGTAACCTAGTAAGTAAACTGGTTTCCTGAGTTCTGTGAGCTGTTCTAACAAATTAATCAAACCCGAGAAGGGGCCATGGGAGCCTGTGGGGTGTGGTGGTATCTCCAGGTAGAGAGTGACCGGAGTGAGTTGAGATAGAGGCACTCGGTTGGTGTTGGAGAATTGCTTGGTGGCATGGAAAAAACACAGTGGAGATAGGTAGCATGGGAGGAAGGTTATGAAAGCCAGGCAAAGGAATTTTCATTGCAGCCTATGGGCAACAGATAACCATTCTTGAACAGAAGGGACGACATGAACAATGGTTTAGGAAAGTCTGACTTAATTTTGCACTATAAAAAATTCATTTGAAAGTACTGAACAGCCTCTGTATTGCTCTAGCACAACTGTAGGATACAGCAATGAAAGGTGTCCCTGTCTCAACAGAGCTTACAGGCTAGTGTGGGTGACGTACTATAATGCCATCCTGGGTTGCCCAGATGGAGGGGTGTCCTGGATACAAGACTTTCAATGCTAAAACTGGGGTACAGTCAAACAGCAAGTGCTAGTGGCAGCCAATTTCCCAAAATGGTCCCTAAAACACCCCACTCCCACCCTATGTAGACCCCTCCCACATTAAATAAGGTCGACCTTTGTAAGTACAGACGTGTACACAGTAAGCATGTTTTGGCCAGGGATGGACCACATATATGAGTGTGGTCCCGTAAGATTATCTAATGGAGCTAAAAAATTCCTATCACCTAGTGACATCACAACACATTACTCACATGTTTGTGGTGACGCTGATGTAAACCTGCCAGTCATATAAAAGCATAGTACATACAGTTACGTACAGTACATAATACTTGTTAATAATATAAGCCTATGCCACCAGTTTAGGTGTTTACTTTTTATTAGTGTGTACTTTTTCTAATTATAAAAAAAAGTTTGCTGTCGAACAGTATGCTGTGTTCTGCCAGCAGTCTCATGCATTTCCTGTTTACCTCATCTTGGTTGTATCGTTTTCTCTCTCTAAAATTTTTTTTCTTTTATTTCTTTTCTTTTTCCCCCATTTTCTCTTGTACTTGATTTAATCTCATGTTGTTTTGTACAGGAACCTGCTGTACAGGCTTGTAAACTAGCAGCCACAGGTTATACCACACCGTCTAGGTGTGTTGTAGGCCATACCATCTAGATTTGTGTATGTGTACTCTATGATGTTCACAGAACAAAGCTGCCTAACTATGTATTTTTCAGAACTTTTCCCCATCCATAGACAGCACCTGACAGCGACAGCACATTGTGGAAATAACTGTGACTTCCCAGACCAGTCATAAAAGACATTATGGCTTCCACTTTGCTCTCTGTGGAGGAAGCCAGTCGCCGCGTTAAGAGGACACTCAACTCAGCGAGAAACCCAAACCTCTTGCTATCAGCCTGTAAACAAGCCATCTTTCAGAGTGTCCTTCAGCCACAGTGAAACCTTCACAGGACTTCAGCCCTGGCCCACATGTTCACTATGATTTTATGACATCCTGAGCCACTCACATTCCTGATTTACAGAAACTCAGCTATCAAAGTTTATTGTTTTAAGCTGCTAAATTTTGGGGTATTTTCATAGAGTAATAACTAATACAGTGCTATAGAGAACAGTTATGCTTGCGATTTGGGGGGTAGGCACTATATTTGATAAGAGGGTATGGACAGGCCTCTCTTGTAAAGGTATTTGGGCAGAAACCTTGAAGGAAGTAATCTAGTAAAAGAATGTTCCAAGCAGAACTCAAAGGGTTTCTAAGACTTAGTACCAACAAAAGATGTTGGTTCAGCCTTGTTAGAGGGACAGCAACAGTTTCAATATGACTGAAGAGAAGTGAGCAGAGTGGGAAAGGCGGTGTGGCAGGAGGTCAGAGGTAGGGGGTCAGGGTGGTGGCAGATCATATAGGGCCTCCTAGAATAAACAGTAGCTTAGTCTGTTCAAGCTGCTATAAAAAAAATGCCATAGACTGGGTGCCTTATAAACAACAAATTTATTTCTCTTAGTTCTGGAAGCTGGAAGTCCATGATCAGGGTGCCAGCATGGTCTGGTGAGGGACCTCTTCCTTGTCACAGATTCTTTTTTTTTTTTAACTTCCTTATTGATTAAGGTATTACATGTGATCATATCCCCCCATCGCCCCCCCTCCCTGCCTTCCCACTCATGCCTTCCCTTCTGGTGTCTGTGTCCATTGGTCAGGCTTATGTGCATGCATACAAATCCTCTGGTTGCTCTCTCCCCCTTACCCCCACCCTCCCTACCTTCCCTCTGAGGTTTGACGGTCTGATCGATGCTTCTCTGTCTTTGGATCTGTTTTTGTTCATCGGTTTATGTTGTTCGTTATATTCCACAAATGAGTGAGATCATGTGATATTTATCCTTCACTGACTGGCTAATTTCATTTAGCATAATGCTCCCCAGTTCCATCCATGCTGTTGCAAATGGTAAGAACTCCTTCTTTTACCATAGCTTAGTATTCCATGTGTAGATTCTTATTGTATCCCCTCCTGGATAGCTTTGAAAAAACCACTACTCACCTCCTGAAGACCTGCCCCCCCCCCCCCCAACTTCCCCCTACACCACCAGCTTGGGCATCAGGTTTTCTTTTGACGTATGAATTTGGGGATGGGGGGTGGGGCACAAAAGTTCAGATCATAGTAGAAAGATGCTTGACTTTCATTCGGAATCAAGGGAAGCCCCTGGAGGGTTTTGAGTAACATGGGCAGCGTTGCTTTGGTCTAGATTGGTAAAAACATCTCTTACCTTCTTTGGTGATAAGAACCACTTGGATTCTGAAGATGTAAGGTCCAGTGGGTAACTGTGATGGCTGTGCAGATGAGTCTGAGAACTCTCTAACCTGTAACATTCATGGTTTCTATAAACTGCGCGGCTACCTCTGAGGCCATAGGGTTAACTGAGATGTCAATGAGGCTAGTCCGAATGGAGATGTGCTGTTAATTGTACAATACACTCGAGTTCCAAATTTAGTGCCAACACACGAACGTAAAATTTCATTAAATCTTTTGGATGATTACATGTTGAAATGATAATATTGTGGCTATACTGGTGGGTTAACTAAAATATACCAATCTTAACCTCTTTCTTTTTGCTTTTTAAAATCATGGCTATATTCGGTTTAAGACGGCATGCGTGGCTTGGATTAGATTTCTATTGGCCAGGGACTTGGCAGGCTCTTTGTTCCTAGCTGGCACTTTTCATTCGGGACTTCCCTTGAAGGTTCGCCCCATACACCGGGCTCAGGCCTGGACTCTCCGGTTTTTCCTGTGAATTCCCTCAGCCTCAGGTCTGCATGTCCAGTGTCCCTCATTGGACTCCAGCCCAAACGGCGAGGGCTCCGCTGGGCGGACACCTCGCTTTCGTGGCACCGATTCACCAGGCGGCAGGGTCCGCCCGCGAGATCCTCCGAAAACCCCGGCCGGTGGCGTGGACGCAGGACCACCCTCCGGATCCTCCGAGGCCTGGGAGCCGTCTGGGGCGCCCCCCTTCCCCTTCCTTCCAGCGA